ACTGAAAAAGGATACCTCAGGCTTTCGTTGGTGTTGTGGTCACTTCTTCCTCATACTTCTGTCTATTTCATGTGGTCACAAGACCTAGAGGCTACTTTCTTATGCACTGCTTTTCTGAATCACTGGATTTAATTGTGGATTGGAGTTTAGTGGTTTAAGGAAGCTCTTGAAAGTTAAAATTACTTAGCTCTTTTTTCCAACTGACATTTACCACTGATATGACATTGGGCAAGAATCTTATGCCTGATTTAAAAAAAAAAAGTTTACTAAATGTTGTACACATCAATTTTTTAATATTTAACTTGAAAAATATAGGGTCTGAGTTTTCAGAGCGGTTGAATACTCACAGTTCTTTATTTTCCTTCCCAATTTCAAGTTGTCTTATACCATGTATACTATTTTGATGTCTCAATTGACATTTTCTACTATTTTCCACTATCTCTTTGCTTAGTGTAACAGAGATCCCTCACTTCCAAATGATTAATGCACTTTCATATTATTTTTCTGTATGCTGATGGTAGAGTGTATTTTATGCTGACTCTTCTTTGTAATAGTTTTTGAAGGATCTTTTAAACCTTTTGCATTTTTAATGCAAAAGCAGATAAGCACCTCTCAACCTCTTTTTTTACCTTTTTACCAATCACTGGAGTGGGTGTAGTAGTTCTTTGCCTTCATAGTGTTAAGGGTCTTAAGAAATGCGTTTAAGTCAATTTGAGATCCTTGTATGAAAGCTTTGATACAAATGTGAAGTAGTATTCCTCTTTTCATATGGGTGATGGCTTAAAAGAAAATATTTTCTTGCACCCCTAGGCTAAAAAATAGAAAATATTATCATGAGAGAAACACATTGATATATTGCACAAAAGAGAAATAATAATGAAAAGTCATTTTCCCCTCTGTTGTATTAAATAAAAAGTATTTGCCTAAAATTGGTCACTCTACCCACCTAATTCCTAATTAAGTGGCATTTTGGTGGCTAAGTCCATGCGAGCTGTTCACAAAACCCAAACACTTCCTAACTCTTAGGCACCTGAAAGACTATAGATGCATATATTTTTACCATTTGAATTAGCTAGAGGCCTAAGATGCTACTAGTGATGATTCACTTCAAAATAGATAAGTATTCCTGGAATTTAGAACTGGACCCCAGCACTTCCCTGTTCTGAGGTAAATTGTCTAATCACTGAGCTAAAAAGTCATGTACCCTTTTCCCCCTCCCTCTGTTTCAACAGGAATGTGGTAAATTTTTCTGACAGCCTCCTCTGTAGTTTGGCACTCTCCTGAGAGGTGGGAGATGTGGCTTTGACTAAGGAGGTCCTAGAACCTAAGTCTGCCAACCTCTGAATGAGCATTCTAACCACTAAGCCATAAAATTAAAAGTAGAGGATACTACCACTGATACCACCTCTTCTCTTCCTCTTCGCGCTCTGTTCTGTGTGAACAGAGTGAGCCTATTTTAGACCCCCAAAAGAAAGAACCTAGGTACATAAGCCCATGAAATGGTTCAGGGTTTTGCTTCCACATAGGTGTTTAAATCAGGGCTGCAGGCAGATACATGAGCTGGATTTTGGACATAACCTGCTCTTCAGTGTTTTGTATTAGTGAGCTTAGCTATCATTGTGCTCCATGTGCTGGTTCTTGGATACCGGAACACTGAAATCTCTCCATCTTTGTACTGGGGGCATAAGCACCTGACTGAAGGCTGTGAATTCCACCATCAGGGCTAGGAACCTGAAGGTTAGGTGTGTTGTTGCTCAGGGTTGTGATCCCTAAATCCCTTTGTGGAACTAAGGGTTCAACTGAAGCAACCAGTTCTAGAGTGCCAATTCAACAAGTACTTAAGTATGTCACTATTTCAGTTGAAGACAATGAGGCTATAACTGTAATGTAATTGTGGATGAAATCACTTGCCTCTGTTTCCAAACTGTAACAACTTTGATTATGTAACATTAAAGAAATATAATGGAGCTGTTTTTGAATGATCCTAAAAGAAGAAATTTGCTTTGTTGCCAATCAAAAAATGTTTTATTTTGCAATTCTGCTACTATTGGGCTAAAACCAGTGCAACTCCATGGTGGAAGTAGTAATGTAGGTTGGGCACAGGCATTGTTTTCACTCTGGCTAGGTACAGACATTCAAAAAGCCTGAGCCTGACTTGATTCAATATTTGCAGGTTAGTGTAACCTGCATAGATTGAACTAATTTGCAAGTGAATAAACATTCACTTTGGATTCTGGAAATGCAGCCACATGCCTGCAGTGGCTCAGGCCAGAAGCTGGAGGGCGCTAGAGCGAGTCCTTGGCTGGAGGGAAACTGAGTGGAGGGAAGGGGCGTGGCCAGCCACCAGCAGGCCTGAGTGTGATTTCTCTCATGATACCAGGGTCTGGCCATGCCCCTGCTCCTGCCACTGGAGCAATGAGGGGGGTGGGGAGGGCTGGGGACACCTGGCAAGGGCTGCTGCCCCCCTACCAGGCAGACCCAGCTACATTCTGGAGCAAGGTTTCGCACCCTCACTCCCTTCTCAGCCAGCCAGAGCAGTGATAGTGCTCTGACTAAGGAGAAGAGGGGCAGGGCCAATACTGCTTGGTTGGAACAGATAGCCCAGCCCAGGGCTGCAGAGCATGCTGGGATTCTGGGGGACTCTGATTTAATTTAAACCAGGAAGGGGTCTGGGACAGAAGTCCCATAAACTGGTTTGACCTCAGTCAGTGAAGTCTGATACTACATGTGCCAGGCAAATGTAACGGGCGCTTGAGGCCTCAGTGCTGGAGGTGGGTCTGCCTCCTACTTTCCTGCCATGACTTGATAGATTTAAGAAAGGAACGGGATCTTCCTCGGAAGATCGGCTGTCTTTCCAGCCTCAGGCTGGCCAAGTGACTTGGGGCTCCGCCTCCCCTACACCCTGTCCACTTGCCAACTGAAATACAGTCACAACACTGGCACAAGCTTGACTGTCACACAGTATGGATTCCATTCATCATGCCCCCTTAGGGGTTAAGCTGACCCTCTCCCCAGCCAGGGTAACGTCCAGCAGCACTGGCCAAGTTATTCTGCTGTGGCTGTATCCCTTTAAAGGGGAAAGGTGGTTGTTACTGGCTCTCCCCACCAGATTTCTTTGGGTCCTGCTGGGGTACTTCCTCTCAGGTTGACCCTATCTCAGTGTATGTCAAAATCTTCAAAGTAAATACAGATGATAACTCAAAGCTACCCTGGCCTCTGACACTCAGGGCTTGGGACTCACATGGCCAGCATGGCGCCATGCAAGCTCACTCCCAAGGTGGGTCCTACCAATCAGATCCTCAGGCTCTGTTGCTGGTACTTAAACGGGGAGATGCTCCTGGCTCTCCCTGTGCATGCCCGTACAGGCTTCCCCAGTATCTTCTGCAGCTTCTGCTGGGTCTGCAAGGATGCTCCCTGCAGCCTGTCCTGCCTCCACTGCTGGTGTCGGGCTTGCTGGCTTCCCAGATGCCTTTTTATGATGTCTTTGGAGGTGTGCTGTCCTACATGCAGGGAGAGTGTGCTTTTAAAATGTGCTGGAGATGCCATGCGCATCTTGGCGTCTCGGGCTTGGGTTGCTGCAGGGAAGGTGAGTAGCCCTTCAGGCCAAACTGGGCTAAGTTTCCCCTTCAGTCGGGGTTCATTGCGGGGAATCCCCCCTGCTTCTGGGACCTTGGGGAGCCAAGTCGCCGAGTGCAGCAACACTGCATTCAACCAGGTTTATCTCAAACCAATTTTGCCCTTTTGAAACTGGCTTATGTGCACTGAACTTCTGTTCTGTTATGTGTAACTTCTGCCCCTAGCCTCTGTCATCCAACCCTGATCTGTGTTGTCTAAGAGTTCTTAGCATAGACTGTGACAACCTGAAACTGGTGATAGTTTGGTTCATCTCAGGCCCCCCTCAGAAAAAGACTTCACAGTATGTTAGCACGTGGTTAATGTGATTACTTTTTGTACTCTGTGTATCTTGAAAAGTGCTGCATGCTGTCAGGTCCCACCTTGTAGAGCCAGGCCCTTTTTATTTATCTTCAAATTGATATCAATTTATTTTACTCTTTCCTTAATGCCTTTAGATTTCAAATCGTAGTTACCTGCTTTGGTTGTTTTTTATTCAGTTGAATGAGATATAGTTTTAAGCAAGTAACTCAAACGGGGGATGGAGGGAAGACTAAAATGTAGTAGCATAACGAAGTGTGGGAAGGCAGGTGAAAAAACAGAAATGGCTCTGCCACTGTGCTGCCAGCAATACAGCCAATGATGCTGCTCCATCAGTACCACCAGTGATTAGGTGTCATGTTATGCCTCTGCTCAAATGTATGAAAAATCAATCTAAAATATTTGCAGGAGTGGGAGGGGGAAGGAGGTTACATACTGGCAGGAAAAATTTTGTGGTTTCTTGCTCTAAGGTATATTAATTCTGCACACGTGACCTGTACCTGACCATTGAGCAGTGCAAAATTGAGCTCCAAATTATTGTCCCTGCATGGCATATTTAATGAGTAACTTCATATAGCTTTCTGGCAAAAAATCTTAATTTTTTTTAGCAGTTTGCCTTTCATAGTATCAAATCTTATACATGGCTTGCACCATGAAATGTGCATTGAAACTGAATGATGTTCTTTTTATAAGTGCCACAGATTGTGTTTCTTTGAGTTATAATAGGCTGGCATGGAGACAAATAAGACAACTATCATGGAATATGAATGGCTGGAAAACAATAGTGCCAAATAAATGCTTGGTATACACATATGCCATTTTGAAAATGTTACTCTCACGACTCTAAAAGATTGTGGTCATGTAGATATTAAATTATGTTACAAATGTTATTTAAATATACATTAAATCTCTGTTGTGCATTTCTGAAATTAGAACAGTGGGGGAATAATAATGGCAAAAGGTCTAACTAATTTTTCTCTGAAACATGTGAGGTATGCCATTGTGCTAACTCTGCTGGGAGAACTTTAGATTGAAGGTATAAAGGTCTGTGATTACATTCCAGGTTCATGCCACAACTCATTTTACTTCAGGAGTTTTGTAGCAATGAACTGTGACCAAAAACGATGGGAGAAAAAAAGACCAGTATGTAAGTACTGCAGTGAAGCATTCAACAGAAATGTGCACTTGAAGTTTTTCTCACAGCACTGTAAATGTAATTTGGAACAGATTCTGTCTATGGGTATGTTTACTGATTGTAAGTATGTAAAAAGGTATTTGCATGTTCATGGAAACGTAGTATTTTTAATTAGATAAGTATACAATAGATCCTGTTGTATATCTCATATACAGGTTTTGATGGGGACCAGAATTATGACCTTTTGAGCCTCTGGAGCTCTGGTATTAGTGAACGCCTCCAAAACTTCAAGTTGTGCCAGATCTTGTCAATATGCACAGAATTACAATCCTTAAGGAGCATTTATTAGAAGAAAATAAGTTACTAACTCAAGCTGGCCTACAGACAGCTCAAGTCCCAGCTTTGTCTGTCTTGCTTTCATGGGCCATACTTTATCTGGAACTCAGCAGGGCATATAGAAATATTTAATGGCTGTGTATGGAAGATATTACAGGGTTAATGCCTTCCAGGGACACAGAGGAAAATGCATGATGACCAAATCTTGCTATACTTTTGAAAAGTATTGCTTGTTAAAACTACTTAGTCTCTCTCATTTCTTCCCCTAAAACCCTTCCCTGATGGGTTTTTTCCAGTATATAGAGTCTGTCCCAAATCTCCATTAAAGACGGAGACTGATAATTAATTAGTTCATTGTCCACTATGGGATACCATTCAACAAGTTATCCCAGGACATTTTACAAGGTAAAACCAAGAGAAACCTGATGAAGTGATGTTTGAGTACTTAGTTCTACTCCCAGTAACTACTTGTTTCCTGTCTTTGATTATCATTTCCTTGACCTCCTCATCCTCCCATTCTTCCAAAAGAATCAAAGCCAGCAGCGACCTATTCTCTTTCTTTTTATCCAGGTCTAGGAGCTGCAATGCTAACTTTTCGCTCCCCAAGTCACTAATCAACACTCTCTCTGACTACTGTCTATGCTTCATTTTATTGCCTCAATCATAATTCAGTTCTTGGCTTCTTTTTGTTTAAGTCTTTGCAGAGAAACAGCTGGTATAGGGTGTGGTTGGGGGGCAGGAGCAGAAAAGGATGAGAGACAGCTGTTGGCTGAGGTTCAACTTCCATAAAAGCTGCTTCTAGTAACTGGAAGACTAAAGTGCCCCTTTATAATCTCCTCATTATTCTTTCTCAGGTAGGAAGGTGGTCGCAGTTACTTCAAATCACAGTGAAATAAGAAAGGAGGACCCTTGGGGTGAGGGTACAACCTTTACCACCTGTTACTTCAGTACAGCATAAGGCTATCCAGTCATAAGAGCTTGGAACTTCTTTTTACAAAAGCTTCAATGTTGTACAATGGAAAGCAAAAGGCTACAGTTTGAGGAGAAAGTTAACTCCTCAAACCCTAGAGTGTTCACTAACAGAAACAAAGCAGACAAAATCTTTCTGAATTTCCCCCTTGATTCTTTATTTAAAAAATAGACTTGTTTGACTTCAAAGCTAAAATCTGCCACAGAAATGCTTTTTCAACTTATTTATAAACTGAGAATTGTCGCCGTATTCATTAATAAGGTAAGCAAAGACATAAAATGCATAGCTTCTACCTGTCAGAAACTGCACAGCCTTTAAATCTGAAGGAATGTTCCTTCATTGCATTTTCAAAACATTTTTTCTGAAAGCCTTTGTTGCAAGGAAATCAGTATGAGAAGTGGAAACCAACCTGGCTTAAAGATGTTAAACATGTGAACTTGAGCCCATTTCTCACTGGAATTAATGTTGAGCAGCATCTTTTAAATGACCTTTATTGGGTACACAGTATTGTACTCTTTTGACAAAGTCTTTCTGTTTACATGTCTTACTTTAAATTAGGTAAGATGTCAGAATAAATAGAACAGGAAAGAAATACTTTCTTCTTTCCTTACATATATAAAACCTAGTCACGTTATTTATGTGCATCTGGTAAGGTATTCTGGGGAGATTGCATGGCTCTTATGAGATGTTCTTGTTTTGAAAATTAATCTGCACAGAAAAGAATTCTAGAGTAAGTGAGGTGTAGTACTTGTTCTCTCTGCTCTAGTGATTTTTTAACTGATTATAAAAAATGCTAGTTCTATTTAAACCTATAGGTGTAAAATATCCAATAAATATCGGGGACCAGATTGTGTCTGGGCCTCATGTTGATAGGCAGTGGAGTAAGGCAAGCTAAAATAAGCCTTTCTTCACCCTGCCCCTTGAACCACCTGTGTGAGTGTCAGACACAACTGCAGAAGCTGTGCTTCAGGTAAAAGGACTGCTTCCTCCGTGCTTCTCAAGTGGTGCTCAGGAAGTCAGGCTACTGTGTCCTCATTGCGTTCTAGTTTATAGTGTGTTGGTAATACTACAAAAGGAGTCACTTGTTCCCCTTGAAGGTATACTGCAGCAAATGGGTTCCCCCTTTTGCACAGGTTAGTATGGCTTCATTCTATCCCTAACGGGAGTTTAATCTTCATAGCACATTTTACCTCCTGAATATTGAAAAGATTGTGTTATTTATTTATAAACTGTGCATCAGCTAAAATACTTTGCAGAAGGATGTGAAGACTGTAACAGTGTAAATCAGGGGCGGGCAATTATTTTGACTGGAGGGCTGCTTAATGAGTTTTGGTGTGCAGTCAAGGGCTGTGAGGGTAACCCGCCCCTTGACAGATGCCCCACCCCCTGGTCACCATCTTGGGACCAGAAGTCCCACACCTAACCCCTGACCTTTGCTAAAGAAAGTCCCTCCACTTGCCCTGGAAGTACTCCTTTTGGGAAGATAGGGAGTTCCCATCTTGGAACCAGAAAAGAACCAAATCATATATTAAAAATCAAACATCACTTATAAGATTTTAATTGTATTTAAAAATACATTTTTGTCCTGATTTATGTGCGTTTGCATCTTATATCTAGAGGCAGTTGCATCATAGTTCAAAATCCAGTCTTATTCTTGTATATTGTGTGTGGGGGGTAAAAGGGTATATGTGGTAGGGTGTGGGAATGGTGGGTGAGGTGTGTGGGGGATGGGTGTGGAGGGGTCATATTGCATAGCTCCCTGCACTCCCACCCCAGTCCGCAGCTGCAGGTGGTGGCAGTAGCATTTCTGCCCGAGTCCCCAGCCACACCTCCAGCATGCACGCCAGTTCCACTCGGGTCTAAAGCGTAATGCTCCCACCCCAGTCCCCAGCTGCACATGGTGGCAGTGTGCGGAGCCAACTTCAACCGGCCCCATAGCACACAGCTCCTACACTCCTGAAGCGTGCAGGGCCAGCCCATCCTGGTCCCATATCATGTGGTTCCCTGCACTCCCAGCTGATGGGAGGCCCTGGCCCTGGCCCGGTGGGACCCTTACCTGAATTCCCACTCTCGCAGGCAGGGAGGCTGGAATCAGCCACAGGATGGCAGGGCAAAAGCATCTGCCAGACAGAGGCTTCTTGTCTCTAGTGCCCCCTAGCTCGAGGCTGGGACAGGTCAGGCCAGGCTGGGGTGGGGGAGTGTTGGTTAGCAACCAGAGCTGCACCTCCTGCATGGAGGCACTGGCTTGAAGAAGGGCAGCAGGGGCCAGCGCTTACAGAGGGGCCCCGTCGACCAGATGGAATTTCCTGGCGGGCTGGATCCAGCCCATCAGCCGTATTTTGCCTGCCCCTGGTATATGTACACAACTTAACAAACAATTAATAGCAGATAGAAGCAGTGATTAAAAGCCACTGCAATTGAGCATTTGCATTTAGTAAGCATTTTCTTGTATGACTGCTGGCTTGAGATTGTCTTTGTTTTTGGTAGTAGATTTTGGTTGTGTGTTCTAATATGTTTATGTGAATTTGAATTTGGTTTGAAGATGTGATTTAGTTTGTCATATGTTGGAGATTTTTCCCACACTAACTGGTTTGAGTATCTTGTATAGTTTCTGGGGCCTGCTTCTGCTGCTTTTGTCATGAATCAGATCAGAATTGAGCCATCATGGTGTCAGTTATTTAAAATAAATGACAAAAGAATAGCTGTGATAACCAATTGCTGCAGTGCTAAACAAGCCCCCTCTGCAGTTCTATGCTAATAAAAGGGGAAATTTACTAATATTCGTGACAAATTTGACAGGGAAAATAATCAGTCCTACTGTGTTATACATAGATTATCTCTTTGTCTACTTGAAACCTATCAGTAAATTTATCAGGTAAAAATAATTGGCTTAGATGTGTTTCTTGCTTCTTACATTAGTGTTGTGATTTAACTCTTCTTATGAGTTTGCATTTCATTAGCTGTTACCTGCATAATTTATAATTTGTTTTTTAAGACAGAATTTTACACATTGAGCCCAATATGTCTTCCTTTTAAGTTAATGAGTGTTTTGCTTCTGGCTTTAGAGGGAAGAAGGTCAAGGCTTATAATGCATAACCCTAATATGTGGATATAACTATTGACTGAAAGAGCAGCATATGCTATCTGCAGAATAATACAGCTATTTTGCAGGATTTCAGCTGTGTGGATTCAATTGTTGTGGAAAGGACTTACAAAATGTTTAATCACTCCTTTCTGAGAATGTTCTGGCTCTTCCTGCAGTGCTGTGTACCAATGACCTGCAGTGGACATTTAAAATAAGAAATATGGTGTCCTTTAATACAGTGGTTTTCAACCAGGGGGGATGCAAGCAGGTTTCAAGGAGTCCACCCAGGCTGGCCCAGCATGGGGAGGAGCTGCCTCGGCCTCCCAGGGCAGAGGTGAGTCCTGGGGAAGGGGTGGGGGTGGACCCGCCCCACCTGGCCCCACAGCCTCCATCTTGTGAGTGGCACTGCGGGCAGGCGGGTGGGAGGGCAAGGCTGTATGGTGAGCAGCAGCAGCAGCACCACCACCAAGTGAGTGGGGCCCCAGGGCTCCCACCACTGAGCCCCACCTGCTGCACCTTGGGCCATGTGAGCAGGGCTGAGGAGCTAGGCAGTTGTTATAATGGGCTCACAGCAACAGGTAGACCATGGAGTTTTTATAGCATGCTAGAGGGGGCCTCAGGAAGAACAAGGTTGAGAACCTCTGCTTTAAAACACGCACTTTTGGTGTTTATTTTGTGCACCACAGTGAGTTTGCATTACAGTAATATAAAATTACACATGTAACAGAGTATGAAAATAAAATTTGAACTAGCAAGCAAAACAAAGAGAACATTCAGAGTTAAAGATACTATAGTCTTGTTGAGTAGCTGATGCACATTGATTGTGGGTATTTTGGAGGAGGAGATATGATGAAACCCTTCTGGACTGATAGGAACCTTTCTGCAAATCACAGATTTACCAACTCTTTTCTATTCCAAAATGTGATGTTATTGAAATTGTTTATTGATGTTATTTGAATATTTTGCAAATTATTTGAAAAATAGATCTGTTCATGTTAGCTTTTGATGAATACGTGACCTCAAAAAGGGATAGGGATAAGCCAAGGAGCTACAAAACTTGGCAAATTTAACTGGGTTTTTGAAGGTGTCCAGGCACTGTAGCTGGATTATAACAGCCATGCAGTCAGCCCACTGACTGAAAAGGGGATTCATGGCAGTCGTCATTGACTATATTCTCAGCTCTTGATATTTTAGTTAAAATTTGGGGGTAACATTTTAAAAGCTCTGTAGTGAGTTAGCCACAAGCCCCACCTTTTTAACAGTGATTTTGGCAGAGAATAGACATTAAATTTAGGCTTTCCAAGTCTCTTGAAACTAGGACTTAAATTAATAAGTCATATATGGTACTGACCCTTTGAACATCTTTGATCCTAATTAGTAAATCCACAGACTAAAAAAATAATACTGTCTTAATATTGTCCAGTTAAATCACTCAGTCTTTTTCTGTGATTCTAAGATGGCCTCTAATGCTGAGTTTTAAGCAACAGACTGGAAAGGAAAACAAAGAAAATGCTGAGTAAAAAATATAGCAAGAGAATATTTAAGTGTCGACAGGGTTTAAAAAAAATACCACTGGGCAGTCTGTTCAATTATTCATTTTGCCAGCCTGTTTGATAATGTATGCAATTTATAGTGAAGAATCTTATGTTTTAAATCTCATTAAATGTCTATTAAATGCAGTATTTCTTCATACTGAAGTAAAATTGTTTTTGCTTAATTTATAACCTGGTTTTCTTTTTTGTAGCAATTTTTCTGTGAGAATTAGATCAATTATTACATTGTTCACATAGTACGTTTCCTAAAGAACATTTAATCCTGTTTTAATATGGTTTTTTTGCTTGGCAATACAAGGTTGGCTTGAACCAAGAAACCTCTTCTGGAGTTTTAATGTCTCCTTAAATCAGCTCAGAACAGAGATGTCTTACAGAGAAGAGTCTACCAGTTTTTTAAGCCTTCCAAAAAGCAGAACACACAAGTTAATACATCAGGTTAGGCATGCAGAAGTCGTTGTTTGTGAATGCATTTATCTGTTTAAACAACCTGAACAGATGGGACTAGAAATTTTGTATATATACATTTAGAGGCTCTTTTTTAAACTATTCATGTGGGCCCCAGTTTTACAGGGTGATTCAGGAGACAAATGCTAGCATCCACCCAGAGCCTCATTTATCAATATGGACCATGCAAAAACCTTTGCAGTCTTTAAATCAACACTAGATCAATATTTTAAATGGCTTATTTCAGTCACAAGTGTTGGGCTAGATACCTGGTATTAAGTAGGGCCAGCATTCTATATAGAGAATATCTGACTAGATATTAAAATCTGTTGTCTTGAAACAGGCTCTTCACTGACGTGTCAGCCCATTCAATTCAGCTGGTAAAATTGTGCTTCCTGTAGCATAACTAGTGGTGATCAAGTTGGTCATGAGCCCCGAGTACTGAGTTAAAGGGGCAGGATAGCACTTGGGGAGAGGTTGGGGTGGCGATACTGTCAGGGGAGGTGCCACCAAATTCAGTGTTGACGTGTTCGGGTGGCAACAGGATTCAGCAGCACTTCCCCTTGCTCCTCTACCACAGGGTAGAGCACTGTGTTTTGTGTAAATCTTATCAGTTATGCCTCTGTACACTTTTCTATGCTTTGTCAGAGATCAGAAGAAATAGGTACAAGACTGAAAAGAAAATTAAGACAAATACCACTAATAGAAATAGTGGCATCATGCCTTATAAAAAGATAAGACAAGGACATTGTACTTTATTTAAGAATGTGTGTGTGTACATACATTTTTTTGGATAGTGAATATATAGTATAGGAAAAGATGCTTTTATTTTTGAATGCTGTACATATTTCTCTCTTTTTTAGATTTTACTGGAGGTGGCACACACTACAAGCATATTAATACAAATTTCACTATGAGTTGGCATAAATTATGGTCTCCTCTGGGTATAAAATGCATAGTATTCTTAAAATAGTCCATGTAACAGACTGGTAAGTTTGATTATTATCTTTGTTTGTTTTATGTGTTTGAATGCATGACTGTTTCACAAGGTTAGTACAAAATTGTCAATCCGATTTTAAATTTTACCCAGTCTCCTAACTATTGTATATGATTTCTATGTGTATAGATATTTTCTATAGTTGATGGATGAAATTCACATTTAACATCCAACACAGCAAATAAGCTGAGGAGAAGGGGGATGAAGTACTACTTCTGAGTATTGGCCAGAAAGAGGTCGGTAGGGAATTTTTTGTAAATCCTTTTTGTTGTACCTTTTAAGTGGTGAGAGCTGGATTGGAGAGTGCTGGATAAAAGAAACTCCAGAAAGGTAGCTGTAGAGCTTGTATTGAACATGCTTAGAGAGGACAGGGAGATAAGAGCTGGGATGTAATTGGAGAGGCAGTTGGATGAGTCCTGCCATTCAATGATGGGATTTTATAGAGATGTGAGATTAAAGTGGGCAAAATGTTTTCATCATTAGTCTAAGGCATGTACCCAGAAATATTGTCCCATGTTTCATCTGTGGCTGATACCTTTTGCAGAATGTGAAAGAGAGGGTTGCATTTTTTCTTGCTGTAGGATTTTTCTGTTTAAGGATTTATTGGTGTTGTTTCTTAGACTATTTATTGCTTTTATATATATAACATTTATGGTCCACTTGTTCAAAGCACGGAAATTTTTTATTACTTAGAAAGTATGAATCTCATGCAAGAGCCACCACAGTTAGTTTAAAAGATTCCAATTTAGTAGATTATATTGCTATGGTTTCATTCTATAAGATTCAGAAGATTTCAGCATTCTCAAGTTCAGGTAGGTGGGGCCCGCGGTGGGTGGGTGCTAAGCAGCTGTGGGAGGCAGCTGAAAGGAGCCAAGGAGGGTCAGCCCCCCCCCCTCCCCCCAGCTCCTA